GAGTGAGGACGTTTGCCGACCCTCCATGACTGTTGGGGTTGTTTGCCGTTTTGGTCGCCAGGTGGTGTGGGCATCTCTGCCCTCCCAGTTTTGTTGCCTGTCTGGCTGCGTGCTGACGTGGCGGTTCTGACATGGGGGCCATCTTCCTCCTGTTGTGCGTGTGAATTCCGTAGGCCTGGAGTTCACTTGTAAGGCTGGTTATACGACCATCGAGATGGTGATGTGTGACATGCTTCGTATTCCGGTGGAGGATATTTACGGTGTGGAGCTTGTTACGGCCCATCGGGTTGTTATTAAGTTCGTGAGGGAGGAGGAGTACCAGGACTTCCTCCATCGGTACGAGGGGCGTACATTGCCGTTGCCGGATGATGCTGACTCTGTGGCGATTTCGAACCGCAGTGGTGCCCTGACTTATGTCAGTGTCCATGGTGCGCCCCTGGAGTTCCCTGATGACTTCCTCCGGCATTACTTCAGAGGAGTTTGGTACTGTTGTCAGCGTGCGGGTGAACACGCTCTCCTCGGGGCGGCATACTGGGAGGCGAACGAACATTCGCACTTTGGGGATGCACCTGCGGTCGGATATACCTTCTTCTGTCCGGCTTATGGGATACTATGTCCGGGTGTATTATGCCCGGCAGCCTCGTACCTGTTTCTGGTGTGGCCTGTTGGGGCATCAGGCTGCCGGGTGCTCTGAGGCCCCAGCTGCTCCTGTCAACATGTTCCGAGAAGAGGATTTCGCACCACTCCCACTGGAAGCAGTCTCGGGTGAAGATGATGAGGAGGTGCGCGTTCCGTTTGCTGCTGCAGCTACCCCGGCGACGCCTGACGTTCCTCCGGTTGTTGCCGACCCTCCTCCGGGTACTGCGGTACCGTCGGTTGGTCTGCCTGATCCTATCGCTGTCCCAGCTGCTCCCATGGGCCTTCCTGGAGCTCCCTGTGTGTCGTCGCTGTCTTCTCCCTCGTCTTCTGATGCTGCGCCTGGCCCTGTGTCCATGACTCGGGTCCCGGATGTGCTGGGTGCTGGGGTGGCTGCGGAGCCTCCTGCTGTGTGTGGCCCGGTTCCCCCTGTGGTAGAGGCTGCTGCCATTCTGTGTCGGGCGACGGTTCATCCAGCTCGTGGTACCCGTGTTCCCGGTGTTCGTCTTCTGCCTGGGCCGAGGTTGGTGACTTCAGTGACTGCAGGTCTTCGGGTATTGACGGTGTGGATATGGATACGTCAATGTCTCCGCAGTTCGTGGTGGCGGAGGTCCATGTGCCTACTGGTGCTGGTGCCTGTGTCTCGGACGTGCCTTCGGTTCTTTCTCCGCCGGGGGACTCTCCGCAGTGGGGGGTGGTGGCTGCCGCTGCCAGGGATGGTGTAGACTCTGGTGCTGGGCGTGGCCTGGTGGTGACGTTACGGAAGGATGCGCGCCGTTTGGGTTCCCTGCTATCGTCTGGTGGTGTGCCCGGGGCCGCGGGTACCCCTGTGGTGCGGGTGCGCGTTGGGGCCCTGGGGGACGTGTTGCCAGCGTCTGTGATGCTGCCGGGTCACTGGTCGAAGATCGCTGAGTTACTGCTGTCTGACGGACCGGAGTACTTTCATGGTGGGCAAATTCCCTTCCTGTGAGGGCGAGTAGCGACTTCTCGCCTCATGAGTCCTACCATCTGGGTCCCCTGTTTGCAGGTGTTTGTTGCCCCGATTCCAGATGTTATGGGGTTCCCTGTTGGATGTACGGGACCCTTTGCAATGGGTGTTCTGGAAGGCGTTCAATGTACGGTTCCCGCGGGCCAGGTTCCCGGGCAAGTATGTGCTCTGATTTCCTGTGTATTTGCTCTATGACATGCTGTGTGCCCCTCTGGCTGTTTGTTTGCCCTGTTATGTTATGTGCTTCTGCCTCTCCCTTTGTGCGTTTCTTTGCCATGTGGCATATTAGTTTCTAGTGCTTGGCGTCGCTCGTTTCGCGTTTTGGCTCGGCGTTTCGCCTTTCCTGGCTTCGCAATTCACCCTTCACGGGTATGCTGGGGCGCATCCGATCCCACGATTGTCGTCGCCCCTAACTCGACAACAACAACTCAGCCAAACTATAATCATCACGTTTAACATGCTTCCTCGACTATGCTTCTCACACCGTAGCAGGTGATAGCGAGACATCGTCAGGTCGGTGGGTTGATATCAAATCAACACTAGGAATTATGCACTATTATACAGAGAAGATATTAACTGTGCTCACATATAAGCCCGGCCTTCGTGTTTCTCACACTCATACATGCAGATGGACTTTGTAGAGGTTTCTCTAGCAATCTCCGCACGTGGTATATCATGTGAGACCATGTGGGGTGTGATCAGGTGATGTTGACGTCTGTCCAGTCAAACGCTCAGGCGTGGAGCGATAAACACAGCTGGGAGGCAAGAAATGTTTACCCACAGGGTGGGCAGTGTGTGGACATGACACAGGGTGATGTAACATGTATTAGGGGCACACGAGGTGACAGGAACTAATGGCAGGAAAAAACTATGTCCCCAAAATGTCTGTAATTAAGTTATTTAACACTGGGAAATACACAGAACACTGGGAACAAAATGCTTAGCCACTATTCAACACCCACGTAGCTTTAGGCTTGCGGATGGTGCTGGATGGTTACGATAACAGCAGATGAACCCGTGCATTCAGTATCACTCTGCTGGTACCATGTGTGGAGTTACACTTTCTATCTCTTGATTATCGCTTGTAATAACGTTAATTCCGTTCTTCGTGATACTGGATTCTGTAGACAGAACCGCTGAATGGAATCGAGATATTGAGTTAAGCTTAAGGTCGCATTTAGACGGTTTTCCCTAGTTATAGGCATATATTACAAATAGTAAAAGAGTACAGATAACAAGGGATAAAGACGCTAAATCACAAATAAGGGAACAGACATCCTCTACACCACAAACCCAACATGAAGGTGTGTGGCAGCTGCTTTATACCACCTCGGAAGAGTGTTGTATGTAACATTTGTAATTCAAGATTTCACCTGAGTTGTACAGGATTACCTACACACTATGCAACCAGACAAGGTACCTACTGGATCTGTCTCAATGATAGACTGATATGAGAAAACATCACAAAACTAATGAATGACATTCCTGAAGTACACAGGCTACAATTCACACAAAAGCTACCAGAAATATATGCAGAGTGTGTAAAGACAGCAATGAACACTGAACACAATCCAGGGACTGAGAGTTTAGGGAGCCAAATTAGCAATGTGGGAGGACACTGTGTGGAGGTACACAAAAAAGATGGCAATGTTGAAGAGCAATCTGGTAATATGAATAAGAAGAACAAAATGAGAAAGACGAGAACAAATGAGAGATGAGTGCAACAAGGAGAAACATAAGAGCAATACTGAGAAAGAAGCAGATACGAGAAAGTTAGGACAAAAAATACAAACTGCCCCAAAACAGAAGTGGCCAAGGCATACACAGGTATAAACAACCAGAATAGAATCACAGATGAAAATACTTGCAGATATTATGCGAAAGGAAAGTGCAGATATGGGCCCAGAGGCACAGGATGCACATTCATGCATTCCCGAAAATGCCGAAACATGTTAGGGAGGGGCAGATGTCGTTTTGGAACAGTGTAGAAGTTAGGGTCGAAATATCTACATTTTCTTGTAGATATTTCGACCCTAAGCTATGCAGACTCTCAATCAATGAGAGGAAATGCTATTATCTTCAGTGTCCTGATTTCCACGTGAGCGGTACACAGCGCTATATAAGAGAGGAAGTCTAATATAATAGCCCTGGAAGTTTTTAAGAGGCAGGCAAAACAGAGATAGAAACAGGCAGACAGAAACGTTGCAGGATTATGGATGGGGAAGGGAAATTCCCAAGACTCGACTACAATTCATCATCAAGTGCACACATACTACATCCCCCAACTACACAGAAACTACCACACTCCCCAGTATCACTACCAAAACTGGATGAACCATTGCCAGAACAGAACACCCTGGGTCAGAGTGGAGAGGAGGGAGAACTACCAAAACCCTTCAGAAGTAACACACAATATGGAAAATCATTCATATTTGCAAACATACAAGGCCTAAAGTAAAATTAAAGATATCAAGTTAACTTCATAAATGGCCTCCTAATAGAGTCAAACTCAATGTTTGGAGCATTCACGGAAACTCATACATAAGATTACATGGATAGTGAAATCTGGATTACGAGGATAGTGAAATCACTATAATTTATATAGATATGAAAATGAAATTAGGTCAAGTGGCGGAGAAGGTCTGTATATTAAAGAGGACCTGGTATGCACAGAGCCACTAAACTCAACCAATGAGGTTGAGGTAGATACAGTACTTGTTGCCATCTGTTTTGAAATGAAAATGAAACCTTCTGGTAATTTATACACACTCATAAGCTTCATGCCAGCTTGGTTCTTTACTTATGCACAATATAACATTTATTACAAAATCATTGGAGCAGTACAGGGATTCGAACCAGCGTCCTGGGTATTCCCAAGCACGCATGTATTTGAAGGAAGGGTTTAGTGGAGATTCCATCACCTATAGTACAGTGCATGGTTGTACTATATATGTAAAACTTGGATTAGCTACCAGCTCTGAGCCTCCAGGCTCTGAGTTCATTCCGAGAAATCTCAGGTTCTGAAATGGCCACCATGTGGTCGAGGGGCACGTGTCTGGTCATACCCAGGACGCTGGGTCGAATCCCTGTTCTGCTCCAAGAATTTTCTCAAAGATACATTACGATATTGTGATTTTCCTATGTACAATAATTATTCACATTCATTATTAAGTGTGAACCTGGTTCTCTTTGTTCCTTCTGTTTCTCCATACTTCTCTGCTGTTCCTTAATTTCCTTGAGTTAATTATTGTTACTCTCCAAGACCGACGTCTCCACCGTCTCTTGTGTAAAATACCATACAGTTGAAATCTTTACCATCAGTTAACTGTCAAATTATCTGGGTTGATGACTCGACCACTTGTCTGTGCTCCTGCAGGTGTCGTTGCGGCCCAACCTGAAGTTCCTGGCGCCGCATGCAGTGGTGGAACGGCGCGTCAACGGCTCTGTCCTCAACGGAGGCTCCCTGGTGGAGGTGATCGGGTCGCAGCCTTCCTGCCACTACCACGGCTTCGTCAGGAACCACACCGCCTCCCGTGTCGCTCTCTCCACCTGCCACGGTCTGGTACGTGTCCTCACATGTTTATTATCTCATCATACCGTTAGTGTCGCGGGCTGTGGCGGCTGACTGGGGGCTGTGTTGTGGCCAGGAAATAACACGAACATGTTTCCTGTTTTACTGTTCATTTACCAGGTTCAGGAAGTGAAGAAGAAATGTGTGGATGTAGATTGAGTATGGAACTACAAGGGACGCCTTGTGACCAGTGTCTGCATCATGTGAGGATAATGAAGATGTGGGTTCCAGGCCACAGTAGCTCTGACGGGTGGAAGTGTGCCCTGTGCCACTTGAGAGTGCCCACACCAGGACCAGCAGCCACACCACCGTGGGTGCAAGTGGCCGAAGGTGATGTTGTGAGAGTAATGAGCCAAGGGATCTGGGTAATTAACAGTAGAGATCCACATCTCTAGAGCGCTCGTCTAGGGCAGGTTTTTCCTACCATAGTGATGCCATGGTATGGAATGATCGCTTAAAGATCAAGGACAAGCCAGCAGCAACCTTATGGCGTTGTTCGATAGTAATATTGTTGATTCTTAAGACCTTTCTCTGTTATGGTTTTCCATTGTCATTACAGGATGTCTAACTTGCAAGGTATTGATGTACTGCTGAATGCAACAATACCTTGAAGTACTCATTAAGTACATCAAGGTATTGATGTATTAAGGCATCAAGGGTTACCTTGTGGTTACAGTGTGTTGGTTTCGGAGCTTAGCGTCCCGGCGGCCCGGTCATCGCCCAGTCTTCCTTGTTGCTGGAGTGGTCAACCAGGCTGTTGGACGAGGCTGCTTGCACGCAGCCTGACTTATAAATTGCCTGGTTGATCAGGTATCCTTTGGAGGTGTTTATCGAGTTCTCTCTTGAACACTGTGAGGGGTCGGCCTGTTATGCCCCTTATGTGTAGTGGAAGCGTGTTGAACAGTCTCGGGCCTCTGATGTTGATAGTTCTCTCTCAGAGTACCTGTTGCACCTCTGCTCATCAACGGGGCTATTCTGCACATCCTGCCATGCCGTCTGATCTCGTGTGGTGTTATTTCTGTGTGCTGGTTTGGGACCAGCCCCTCTATTATTTTCCACGTGTAAATTATTATGTATCTCTTACAGTTGTATCTCTTACAGACAATACAGATTTAGGCCTTTTAGTCGGTCCCAGTAATTTAGATATTTTACCGAGTGGATTCTAGCAGTAAACGATCTCTGCACACTATGCAGGTCAGCAATTTATCAAGCTTTGAAAGGGGCTGTCATTGTGCAACAGTACTCCACTCTGGAGAGCACTAGCGTCTTGGAGAGTATCATCAATGGTATAGCATCTCTAGTTTGAAAGGTTCTTGTTATTCAACCTGTCATTTTTCTTGCAGTTGTGGCAGCTACTATTTTACTACTACTAGTACTACACAAATACCATGTGTTCTTTGAAGGTAAGGTCTTCCGACATGAGGACACCCAAATCCTTTACATTGCATTTTCGTTCTATGTTATGATTTGCCTGTGTTTTATATGTGATTTCCGTTATTATATTTTCATTTTTTCCGTAGTGTAAGAGCTGGAACTTATCTTCCTTTAAATACCATATTATTTCCTTTAGCATATTGAAAGACTTGATTTACATCTGATTGGAGGTTCGCTGTGTTCTCTATGTTGTCTACTCTCATAAAATCCTAGTGTCATCTGCAAAGTGCTATAGATTATGTCCTTGTCTGTGTCCAATATGAGAATTAGAAAAAGTACTGGAGCAAGCACAGTACCCTGGGGGACTGAGCTCTTCACGGTTGATGGGCTGGATTTCATTTTGTTGACTATTACACACTGAGTTTTGTTAGTCAGGAAATTGTAGATCCATCTGCATATTTTTCCACTAATTCCTTTTGAAAGCATTTAGTGTGCAATAACACCATGGTCACATTTGTTGAAGGCTTTTACAAAATCTGTATAAATAACATCAGCGTTTTGCTTGTCTTCCATGGCATCTAATGCCATATCATAGTGGTCCAGCAACTGCGACAGGCAAGAGCGCCCTGTTCTGAAACCATGTTGTCCGGGGTTATGGAGATGCTGTGATTCCATGTATTTTGTGTTCATACTTTTTAGCACTCTTTCAAAGATTTTTATGATGTATGATGTTAGTGCTATCGGTCTGTAATTTTTGCCTCTGCCTTATTTCCTCCTTTATGGAGTGGTGCTATCTCTGCTGCTTTTAGTATGTCAGGGATAACGCCAGTATCAAGGCTTTGTCTCCAAACAATGTGAAGGGACTGTGACAGTGGTTTTTTACAGTTCTTGATGAATATGGAGTTCCAAGACTCAGGGCCTGGTGCAGAGTGCATAGGCATACTGTTTATGGCTTTCTCAAAATCCAGTGGGGATAGGGTGACATCTGATATATGATTTGATGTTGGCATCACATCTGTAAAAAGTTCATTTGGGTTATCAATCTTCAGTGTGTTTAGTGGCTCCCTAAAAAGAGTCGTACTGATTCCTCAGTATTTCCCTCATTTCTTTGTTGTCATCTGTGAAAGTTCCATCTCTCTTTTGCAGGAGCCAGATACTAGATGTAGTTTTTTTTTTTTATCTTGAATTTTGCACAAGAGAAAAAATATTTCGGATTTCTCTCCATTTCACTGATGGCCTTTTGCTCTCTTTGTCTCTCCTGGATTTTATACGATTCTTGTAGCTTTAGTTCAATCATTTCTATTTCTCTACCTAGCCTTCTTAGTCGTTCTTGAGATAGGGTGCGGCTCTCAAGTTGTTCTGTGATTCATTTTCTTTGCCCATAGAGGGAACGCCGTTCCCGTTCCAGTCTGCATTTTTTTTTTTTTTTGTAGGGGTATGAGGTTTGAGCATATTTCTAGAGCTACTGAGTTTATTTTTTCCAGGCATTGGTTCAGGTTTGTATTTTCTACATGTTCTTCCCAGCTTATTTCTGTGAAGTCTTGGTTTATTTGCTCCCAGTTAATCTGTTTATTTTTAAAATTGAATTTGGTGAAATCTTCTCCCCATGAAACTCGGGACTGGTTGTGCAGCCCCATGCTTGTCAGAACTTCAATTAGGTTGTGATCTGAGAAACAGGTATTTATAATCATAATGTTCCTAATCATTTCATCATTATTAGTGAAACTGAGGTCCAATGTGTTCTCTTTTCTAGTTGGTTCTACTATTTGTTGCTTTAAGACAAATCTGTCGCACATCTGTAGCAGGTCATTGCATGTGATTGTTCATTTAGGCTTCTTCTTTCTTCATTTAGGTATTCTTTCTGATATAACTGTATTAGCTAGGGTCTTCCATTTCAGGAACCATAGGTTAAAGTCCCAAAGCAGGATGATGTTCGGGGCTGGATTTGTGAGGTTTTCCAAGCAGTGTTCTATTTTCATTACTTGGTCTTCAAACGGCTGAGGATTTGTCTCTCGTGCCTTATATACAAGGACAATAACTACATTTAGGATCTCTATTTTGATTATTTGCTAAACTTCCACAATATCGTTTGTGGTGTTTAGCAGCTCAGTACAAATGAGTGTGTCTTTAATGTAGAGGCTGACCCCACCCTGTGGCCTGTGTTTCCTGTCACATCTGAAAAGATTTTACTCTGATATCCATATTTCACCATCATGGTAGGCCTTTGTGTGGGTTTCCGTTAGGGTTGCGAACACTGCATTTGCCTTATGTAGCAGGCCAGCAATAAAATGAACTTTATCAGATTTACATGATTTTATACTCTGGATGTTGGCAAATAAAAATGATGTTATCGTGTTTGTGGAAGTGCTGGATGCTTTACTTGGTGTTAATATCTGTGACTCTGGTATGGAGGCCACTGTGTTTGTGTCCTCTCTAGCATTTGACCAAGTTGGTGGTAGTCTGGATATTTTTTAAGCCATTCTTCTCTCTCTCTCTTGCTAAAAAATCATCCTGGTCAGTAGAGTCGTGGCTGTTTTCATAGTGGAGGTCTGTCGGTTTTATTCACTTGGTTCCTCTTATATGAAAAGCTGGACATTCCGTGTTGAAGCATTCTTTCCTATCTAAGGAGTTCTTGCAAAGTTCTGGTTGAAAATTATTCTCAGCTTTCGGTACATTTACCCGTACTAAGGAGGTTTTTGCACTTTCTAGGGTGATCGTACTTACATATTCCATTTGTTCTATCCGATATCCCAAGTTTACAGGTACCCCCATTTGTTCTATCCGATATCCCAAGTTTACAGGTACCCCCATTTGTAATATCGACAGATTTTATGCCCTTGTTTTGTTTGCTTCCCTTTATCAGAGACAGCGCTCTGCTGTGGCTCTGCCCTCGACGGCGGGGGTGCGTACCTGGGCGTATCTGATTGTACCCGGGTGTCATGGACAATTTATTTGAAGATATTTGAAATTTCTATGCAGACATTTATTAGTGATTTTCTGTTCTCCGCAGGAGTTTTATCCATAATTGCGATCATCTTCAAGAATGTAATATTACCCTTTTTGCAGAGCGAGTACAGAGAGTGGCTCTGAGACCATTTTCCTTCCATTATTAGTCATGTTGGCACATTTTACTGTGTATGACTGCTGGGAAGAGTTGGCATTGAAGTAAGTAAGTAAGTAATTATCAAAAGAAGGCACCAAACCGGGAAGGCTATGTAGCACCATCAAATACGCAAAATAATCAGAGGGCGCTAAATATCACCAAGGATGCCAATACGAGAACAAAAACGCATAAGGCGAACGATATCAAAAGTATCCGAGTCACCAAGAATTCTATCGAGGGACAGGTGACCGCGAGGGGCGGTCGGAAAGCAAGACACACGCTCGTCCTGGAAGTCAAGACATTCAAGAAGGACATGCACGACCGTAAGAGGGACAATGCAACTAGGACAATAAGGAGCAGGGCGGCGCTCCATCAAGTGACCATGGGTTAAGCGAGTATGGCCAATACGCAACCTCGCTAGAGCTGTTTCCCACCGCCGGTTACGGTGGAAGGAGGACGGCCACGAGGAAACACAACATTTAAGAGTACGTAGCTTGTTACCAGTAACAGACAA